CCCTTAAATATCAGGTTGTGTCTGGTAAAAATGTTGCTTGATTTGAAAAAAAGTGAGGGTGATGGTTTGTTCTTTCTGGACACAGGTGAGTTTCTCTTGTTGCAGTTGCAGGGTGTGCTGCAGTGCTAGGGGGATTCTCCTTCTCTCAGGCACTTGAGCAGGCCAACATTCAGCACCTGAATCCTGCTCAGCTTCTGATGCTGTGCTGTACCAGTGGGGCAGCTCTGGGCATGCACTGAGCAGCACTACTGGAGTTCAGGAGGGTAGGAGCCCCAAAGGACAGTTGGCAGCTGCCAGTGGTTTCATTTCCTGTTTTTATCTTAAACCTGTCTGTTTTCAGGCCTCCTGAGTCCAGTAAGACCATGTCTGAAGACCTCTGAAGGAACAGAGGGAAGAAATAGTGCTGATCATACAAATAAATACAAATACAAATAAAGGCGGGGTGAAGCCTTTCGAAACCTCTCAGCCCTGAAAGTAACCTTTGCTTAGAAGAGATTCCTGTCTTCTGCAGGGCTGCTGAACTGGTCAGACTGCACAACTAAGTCGGGTTTAAAACCAATCAAATGAAATTTGAAAGAATATGAATGTTAGGTGTAATAACCTCTGTCATGTCTGAGTACATCCACCTGTGATCACAAGCATGTTTGAAGTCCAGTGTTAAGGTTGTGCTGCCTGAAGTATTTGTGGGGATGGCAAATATCCCACCTGGGTGACAGCTCGACAGGATGAGATCTGCTGGAATCCCACGACTAGAAACCCTTGTTTAACTCCAGGTGGTGGGTTTGACCAAGGAAAAGACATTTATTTCTGTGCTCTGATGCTTCCTGCCACCAGAGGGATCTAATGGGCCATATCCATAGCACTAATTCTGCCTTAAGCCTAACACCAGGAATTGCACTTGATGTTGACCTACCATCGTTCCTCATGACTCAATCTTAACAAGACTGAGTCCTTTTCAAAATTGGCAGGCAAACTGTTTTTGTGGTAGGTGACTGACATCTGGAAAGAAGAAGGCAGCTAACTTCCACCCAAATTGGAAATGACAAAGAAGAGCTGGGGAAACAGCATTTGAGTAAACTGCTTTTAGGTTTCTACCAAGCTGGTGCCGTGCTGATGAGTGGTACTGAAGGGATGAGCTTGAATTGTTGATCCATTACTTTGTCTGGGCTGGTAGCACATGGGAAAGCCTGTGGCAGTCTAATCTGACAAAGCAAAATGAGTTGTCTTCTTCTGGATCAAGCCCTGGGCAACCTGATCTATATGTGTCCCTATTCACTGCAGGAGAGTTAACTAGATGACCTTTAAAGATCCCTTCTAACTCTAAGGATTCTGTGATTCTTAGTTTAAAACTGAAAGCTAATTTGTTCCTTTGGGTTTGCTAGGTCTAAACTGAAGCTGCAGCAGAAGACTATGTCCCTGTGGTCCTGGGTGAACCAGCCTGAAGAGCTGAAAAATTTCCAGAATCCTCTTTTTGAGGCCAACAGCCTTGTCATCTGGCCCTCTGTGGCCCCACAGAGCCTGCAGCTCTGGGAAGGTAAACCAAGCTCATATGTATTTTGTGGCTACTAGTGAAGCATCTGCTTCTGTTGTCTCTGCTCCATGCTTAGTCTGTCTCAGCTGTTAACGTTCTCACTCCCTTTGAAATCTGTTCCAAAATATGTTTGGAACGTAGTTTACCCAGAAGCATAATGCTGCCTCATGAGGTTTAGCAACATGCTAGTTTTTGGCAGGGGTCACACTGGACCTTCTCAGTACCATTTAACTTGTTAGCACAGTATCTTTGCAGTGATGCAGCCTTATCTATGGTAAGTTCTGTAAGCCCCAGGCTTTCTTTATTCTGCATGAGCAAGACTTTTTCCTCCTTTATCCTGACCAATAGGTGGATAATCTGTGCACTACACCATCTGTTGAAGAAACTTTCTCTGACCTATGTGTGATGCCCAAGGAGGCTGTGGATGCCCCATCCCTGCAGGCATTCAAGGCCAGGCTGGATGTGGCTCTGGGCAGCCTGGTCTGCTGATTGGAGACCCTGCACATAGCAGGGGGTTGGAACTGGATGAGCATTGTTGTCCTTTTGACCACAAACCAAAAAGTCCTTCTGACTTTTTCTGTCTCTGGGCTTTCAGGTATATTCCTGCGATGGAACAGGCCTTCCAGATACCTAGATGAAGCCGAGGAAGAAATGAAGAGGATTATAGACTACAACAGGTTTCTTCAGGATAAGGTTAACTCAATGAAGAAGCAGATAACGCAGACAGAAACAGAGGGCAAGGTGGACGAGGTGGATGAGGTGGACAAGGTGGATGAGATGGACAAGGTGGATGAGATGGACAAGGTGGATGAAGTAGACAAGGTGGACAAGGTGGACGAGGTGGACAAGGTGGACAAGGTGGATGAGATGGACAAGGTGGATGAAGTAGACAAGGTGGACAAGGTGGATGAGATGGACAAGGTGGACAAGGTGGACGAGGTGGACAAGGTGGACAAGGTGGATGAAGTAGACAAGGTGGACAAGGTGGACGAGGTGGACAAGGTGGACGAGGTGGACAAGGTGGATGAGATGGACAAGGTGGATGAAGTAGACAAGGTGGATGAAGTAGACAAGGTGGACAAGGTGGACGAGGTGGACAAGGTGGATGAGGTGGACAAGGTGGATGAAGTAGACAAGGTGGACAAGGTGAAAAAGGTGGATGAGGTGGATGAGGTGGACAAAGTGGATGAGATGGACAAGGTGGATGAGGTAGACGAGGTGCAGGAGAACCCGTGAGCTGCCAGGGCTTTGCCTCAGGTCTTTCTTTTCCAGTTCCTTTTAGGTTAAAGATTAAACGTGGAAAGTGCTTGTATTGCAGAGTCCTCTGGTACAGCTGACCCTCAGTCCTCCACCTCTGAAACCTTCACTTCACACAATGTACCTCCCTGCTTTTTGGGAGGGAATTTTCTTTTGTTTACAGAAGGTACAACTGGGCATAGTTTCCTCTCCTGGCAGCTTTCTTGTCTCTTACTTGTGCAGTAAAAGCTGGAACTCTTACCTCCACCCAGCTGTATGGATGACCATGATGGGCCAAGAGATGAAATGTTACAGATTTATTTTGGACTTTGATCTTTTTTATTTTATTTTTGCTGAACTTTCTAAACATTCTTTGCGGGATTAAAAGACAAAGTTATGTATAGATGGGTTAAAGGCATTCTATCTGAGAGCACCTTTTCTCCTCAAGTAGTTAGGGCAGCTTAGTTCCTTAGTTTCCTAGAAAGGTTATAATCTAACCACAAGACCAACCAGTCCAAACAGTGCTTTCAGTAGCCTTCACATCTCAGACTTGGGGGTTTTCTGGTTTGGGAGCAGTAGGTTACATACCAGGTAAGAAATTTCAGTGCAATACAGAACTGAATAGGGATTCTGCTGCTAATGTTTGAGCTATGACCTTCAGGTGGAGTTGTTCCTCATGGACAAGTAACTCCTAAGGAATAAAAAATATTTTTTATTCTACCTGGAAAACAAAAAGGTGGTGATTGCTGGAGGTGTATTCACTTGCTGAGCAAAGCAAGGGACTTGGAGCTGTCCTCTTCAGAGCCACACTACCCTCTTGAACTTCTGTTTCTATACATTTGAATAGATTCACGGTGCACAAGCAGCACTTAATTTACTGCTCAGCAAAACATTATTGCTCCATTTTGTTTCTTCTCTCATGCTCTTCCTGTGTGCTTTGTCAAACATCCAAAGCTAAAGCTGAGAGTTGGCGTGATCCAGCATACCAGGTATGTTGCAGATGGGAAGGCTGTCACATTACAGAAGTGTTAACAGCAGCTGCAAATGACTTACACTAAAACTGTTCAAAGATGCTAGAGAAGATTTTCTTCCAAATCAGTTCACTTTGTAGTTATTTGTCTCTGTGGCTGTAATCTGCTATTTTGTAAGGCTATTCTCTTTTTTCTAAGTCTCTCTCCTTCAGATAACAATGGTGTGGTGCATTAACTCATTGGTGTTTGTCCAGCTAGGTTTCACTGATAGCTACCCATAACTGAGGAGACTTGAAATCAAGCAGTGCATGTGGCTGGGATTACTGTAAGCTGCTCACTGTTAGCCTGTTGCTGCTGAAACCAGTGCAGCTGCATGAGGTCAATCTTGACCTCTTTGAAAAGTGTTGAATTCAAGTGTCATTTTTTTGATGCTTTGGATTGAAGCTGCCTTTGCTTAAAAGCCACTTAGCATAAGGATATGAAAATAGAGGCTCCTTAGTTGTCTTGGGAGTATCTGGAGAGCAGCCTTCTGTGTAACACCTAAAGATACCTTTTTAAAAGGTGTTCCATAATGAAGGAGACTGATATTAAGCACTACCTTAATGCCTTTTGCTTCAGTCCATATCTCCTTAATTTTCTTCTTGAGTAGCCTAAACTTCTAAGTCCTGTGGCTTAAACACTTCATTGTAATATCTGTTTCTTCCTACTCTCGTAGAGCAAACTTGTTCCCAAGGTTACAGCTGACATAGGGAACACTTGTATTTATCAGAGTGGCTGATGACCTGTAGCACACAACAAGGGAGATGCAAGCTGGCCATGCCTTTCTTCCATTTCCAGGCTCTGGATTTTTGGGGCTGCCTGCTTATATTGCAAACGAAAGCCCTGAATATTACTGCTCACCCTTCAGAGCTATGGCTGTGCTGTCTGCAGCTGCCTGGATGTTGTACTCCCATCCCATTCAGAACTTCTGCTGTTGCTGTATGTCCAAAACACATCATGAGTCAGACGAGAAGGATTTGAAAGGGACTGTTTTCCCCATAATAGGCTGTACATAAAACACACTTAAAGGTTATGCAATTTCCTAACATAGTAATTATATATTGAGCTAAATAATAGAGAAGCAAAGAAGGCTGTTCTCTTTTCTTTTTTAATGTAATTGCTTGGCTGCTGTAGTCTCTTATCTCTTACCGAAACTGCAGGCATCTGGGGAGATGGCATGGATTTGCAGTCTTCATGTGAAAATGACACTGTCATTGTGAGCAGTGGCAGCAGGTGGTTCTTTTATTCCCCCTCCCAGATCTTCTGCAAATAGTCCCCTTTGTGCAGTGTTACAGTGCTGCTGGGTGCTGTGTGGTAGAGCTCACCCAACGTGTGGACCCCACGCATCCTCCAGGGAAAACAAACAGTTCTCAGATGTCTCATGGCACCTGCAGTTCTTTTCACCTTTCCATTCCAGTGCTTCCCAGACTGTGGAGCACTCCAGCTGTTTGCTAGCTTATGTCTATCACACTTATTCCCTTGCTTTGATCAGCTTGCTTCCCCTCAGCCTGCAGGGCTCACCCCGTGGAGTTAACCACACTCTGCTGTATCTTCCCAGGCTGTGAGTGTGATGCTGCTTTGCACAGCTGCTGGGATGCCCTTCTGTTCCTTAGCATATAGTCTTTGTGGGCCCTTCCCCCGGGCTCACTCAGACACGCTGCCATTAACCAAAAGAAAAAGGGAAAAGGAATCAAACTTGCACAAGTTTTCACGAAGACAAAGGGAAATATGTACCTTCAATATTTTGATTGTATTGATCTAACTCTTGAATGTGGAGACCTGTTGAAGTGCACTGTTGTCCACGTTGCGTGCAACGGAACTGAAATTGCACTGTGCAGCATGCTGGCTTCTCAATGTGCTTTGCTAAAGCCTTGGAAGGTGCTGTCATGTACAGGTTCCTGTACAAGGGAAAATGTCTGTAATAGCACTCCTTTCTTGTAACTGTGACACTGAATAGCACTGCGTGATGTGTGCTGTCTATCTGTCAGGCCGTGCGGACTGAAGTGATGAGTGCACTTCTGTCTCAACATCTGGAATTTGCTAATTGGACTCGGCTGCTGCATCAATCTTCATTTGAAAACTAAATATCAGGGCTGGGAGCTGTGTGCTGTTGTTAGATGTATGCTGAACGTGTACAGAATCCTGGCTGCTGTGGCGTTGAATATACTGAATATAACAAATCCGAGGGAAGAAAAATTGACTGTGGTTGAAATGGCTCAGCCATTGGAGGGGGGAGAAACAGACACAAAATGGCTGTAAGCTTCACTGTAGATATGTTGAGAAGATAATAGAATTGTCTGTTCAAATTAAAATGTTCCAATTAAAACCTTGAAGACTGGGATTCTTTAATTACAGTGCTGGAGAACCTTGTAGCACTGCCTTCACTTCTCATTGTGTCTGTGAGTTGGATGCAAACACTTGTCTAAAGCTTATTTTTCCTGGCTGATGTGCATTTTCTCCTACAGAGGTGATAAAGAGGGGAGTTGTGCTGCAGGGCTACATGAAAAGGTTGAGACTTTGATTCTGTGTGTGGATTGCAGAGCTCTGCTTCCATGGTTTTGGTCCTTTGTCACCAGCTCTGCATGTGGTGTGGGAAAGAAATTAATTACAGTTCTATGCTTGTATTAGATTCCTTAAGGGAACAGGTTGCCCAAGGAGGCTGTGGATGCCCCATCCCTGCAGGCATTCAAGGCCAGGCTGGATGTGGCTCTGGGCAGCCTGGGCTGCTGGTTGGTGACCTGCACACAGCAGGGGGTTGGAACTGGATGAGCACTGTGGGCCTTTGCAACCCAGGCCATTCTATGATGCAGGCAGATGTTAAAGGGAGAGTGGGCAGGACTGAAGCAGAACCTTGCAAGCTCATTAGTAGTACTATGGCTGTCCCCACCTCACTTAGAAACAGTAGGTAGCATCATTTCTACATGGCAGGAAAGGAGGTGGGTCAGCATGCTGTGTCCCTGGGCCATCACTGAGAGGTAGAAGAATGCTCTGTGACTTCTGGTTTTTCAGCAGATCAGCTCTCTGTTGCCCTGCAGCTTGTACAGTCCCAAAGCTTCACAGGATGACTTGTAACTCATTTGGTTTGGAAGGGACCTTAGAGCCCACCCAGCCCTGCAGTGGGCAGGGATGCCTCCCACAGCCCCATCCATGGCCGTGGGTGCTGCAGGGATGGGGCACCCACAGCTCTCTGGGCAGCAGTGCCACTGCCTCACTGTGAAACATTTCCTAATATCTGTTAACCTCTGTGAATGGACTGTGTGTGAGTTCACCTCATTAAATCCTGGGCACCTATGGTTAGTGGTGTTTGTGCAACATCCAAATCCCCGTGTCTTGTGCGTGCTGTGGCATGAATGGATCTTGAGGGTGTTATAAGTCAGCAGACTGTGGCCATAAGCATCCATGAAAAGCCAAATGCTTTTGTTTAGAGCCATTGCAGGGCTGTCTTCCAAGCTGCCAGTCGTCCCCCAAGCAGTGGAAGCAAACAATGAGAAAGAACCACCGTCATCCCCTGGACATGACTCTGAGATGCTTCACCCTTTCTACTGCTGTGTGAATGTCAGGACACAACTATGGCATTCACCTTTCAGAGGTGGAGATGATGATGATTTGGTTATCTGTTGTAAGAGCATTGCTGGTACCTCTGAGACAACCTTAAGCATCGTAGGTCATACTGGGCTGGCGAGGCACTGCTGTAACTGCTGAAGGTTTGACTGTTGCAGTGCAACAGGAGAGCTGTTGCTCTGTGAATGATGGGTTGTCATAGGGATGAAGTGTCCACGAAATGACTGATGTGCTGTATTAAAATGCATGTCGTGTCAGTCTTAAAGATGCTCTGTAGGTATGAAAATAGGATGAACGATACAAGGCACTCAGCCTATTCATGGGTCTGATTGCTGTACTCCAATGCTACGTATTTTAGAGAAAAAGATTTTCTTCTGTAGGTCTAGAAAAGACCCTTCTGTTTATACAGCTCATGTTGTGTTGCCCACAGCTGGAAGATGTTTGGTAATGTTACATTAACATGTTGTTCTCTACATTTTTTTCCCCTCCTCACTTGTGTTAACCCAGCTGCTTGTGATGCCACACAGCACACTTACTGGGAGAAACTGCTGTGGATGATAAGTAAGCCAGCCAGAAGGAGAAAGCTTTGCAGCCTCGATCGCCGGCTGTGGTGGTAAACTTTCTGATGATGCTTTTAGCAATTAAGTCACAAAGATCTGTAAGATGAAAACTCCTTGTGGGTAGGTGAGATGTCATCTGAGCCTCTGTCAATGGGACCCCTATGCAGGTTGGAAGGATGACTGCTTTATAAGGCATAGGGTTGGAAGATCAAAGCCCTGGTCCTGCCACTGCCACAGGCTGCTGGTGGAATCTTGTGTGGGTTGATGTTGCCAGTGTCCAGGCAGGTGTGCTCTATGGGGGTAGTCCAGAGAAAATGTTTTATTCTCATCTGCCTCTCATTCACTGCTGGGGAGTGGAATGCTCAGCTGTTGTACAGCTTTGAGCAGAAGCAGCCTCTGGGCTCTGATTGGAGGCTGGAGCAAGAAGTGGAGCCCAGGTGGAGCTGCCAGAGGAGGTGGAGCTACTGCCTTGCCCAGCACTTTGCTGAAAGCCATCTGCACCATTGTCAACAGGACTAAAGACAGCAGGTCTACTGAAATACCATATTCTGTGGGCAATGTGCAGAGCAGCAAAGCAGGAGGACAGCATGTTTACAGCTAGCTCGCTTGTGGCTCCAGGAGGCACCTAGGCACAGAGCTCCAGCTTGAGGCTCCTGCAAGGAGCTGTGAACAAGATGAGCAGCTGAGCAGGATGCAAGAGGAAGTCACCAAGGCTGAGATGTACCCAGCAGTCAGAGTGATGCTTGGTATTATGCAGTGGCACAGGCAGGCCAACAGCACTAAGTCCTGGCAAGGGGAAATAGATAAGGCTTCCAACTTGACAGCAAACATACAGGATGAGGGGGACTGGAAGCTTGTCTCTGCTTGGAGCAGATGGAGAAGCCTCTCCCATTTGTCCCTGCAGTCCTCCTAGCCAGCAAATACAAAGCTGTGGGGCTGGAAGGAGAAGGTATGGGTAGTGGTTTCAAAAACAGAAAGGGGCAACCATGTTAAGAAGGTGCAACTGAGAACCAGTCACAAGCAGTGCTGCTAAAAAATAAAAAAGGTGAAGGGTCTTGGTTTTTGGACTGGAGCAATGAAGGGCAGCTCCTCTGATCAAGGGAAACCTGCTAATGAGGTCTTCTTGCTTCAGCTGCAAGAGGTTTCATGCTTGCAGGCTTTCATCCTGTTGGGAGAGTTCAACCACATGGACATCTGCTGGAAAAACAACATAGCAGCCTGCAAGCAATGAAGGAGACTCCACTGACAATAACTTTCTGGTTCAGGTACTGGACAGACCCACGAGAGGTGAAGAACTGCTGGACCTGGTGCTCCACTAATGGAGGAGATTATTGAAGACCTTAAAATCAGAGGCAGCCTGGGCTGCAGCAAACATGCCCTGGTTGAATCTGTGATCTTGAGGAGGAATAGCTTTAAGCTAAAAGAGGGGAGATTTAGGTTAGGTGTTAGGAAGAAATTCTTTACTCGGAGGGAAGTGAGGCCCTGGCAGCACTGCCCAGAGAGGCTGAGGTGCCCCATCCCTGGAGGTGCTGAAAGCCAGGCTGGCTGGGATACTGGGCAGCCTGAGCTGGTGGGGAGCAACCCTGTCTGTAACAGGGAGGTTGGAACAAGATGATCTTTAAGGACCCCTCCAATCTAAACCACTCTGTGAGCACTTGTGGATGCTGCATGGAAAAGGAAAGGAAGAAGAAGGTAGTATGAAATAAATTAGGGAGAATTGCCATCCTCCATCCTGCCATCCTCCTTCCTGAGTTACCATCAGCTTTCACTGACTTTCACAAAGCCCTCTCATCCTTTCTTCAGCTCCCTGCCCTTTTTTCCAACACGAATGTTGCCTCCAGCCCAGATATGATTCTCCCTTCCCTGTCATCGGGGCTCAGGGAGGCAGAGCTTGTGGGAACGTGTCCCACTCTCTTAGCTTGTATTTCCAATATTCCTTTGTTGGTAAGTTTCTCGACTTAAGACTGGCTTTTCCTGTTTGCAGGCTCTTACACTTGTATTTTTTCATCCTATCTGGGTTTTAAAAACACACAAGCTTCTTAATAGTTTGTAACCTGCTGCCTCTCATAGAATCAGAATCCTAGAATGGTTTGGGTTAGCAGGGAGCTATAAGCCCACCCAGCCCCAACCCTGCCATGGGTAGGGATACCTCCCACAGCCCCTGCTGTCCCCAAGCCCCATCCATGCCTTTGGGCACTGCAAGAATGGGGCACCCACAGCTTCTCCTGGAGCATTTCTTGTACATAAAAGATAGCAAGGACTAGTGTGGCACAACATTATGCAGACCACTGAAAAAGACACCCAACGTTGTATTTATTGCCCACAGGCAACAGTTGAGTGGATCATCATGCTACTAAGCTGCCTTCTTGAGCTCATGGGGCCCAGCTTTTGCCCTTTTAGGATCTTTTGCCACTCTGTTGTTGAGTTTTCTCCTTTCAGACCTTTGAGCTGCTACCTATCACACTCTGTCCTCAGTTTTTCTTTCTTATCTTGCAGGGCTCTGTGTTCTTTCTCACAATTTGGCAACCTCCATAGCCAAAGGCATTGTTACCCAGCTGGGCCTTATCAGGGAGGCCTTGGAATTCAGCTGAACCTTTAGGACAGGGTGGTGTAGAGGCCAGCTTGCTGCAAGTTCTCTCTAGCTTGTGTTCATGCCAGTTCAACCCTCTGGATGGTTCTTTTGGTGCTGGAGGAGGTCAAATGGTTACTAATGTTATAATCATAGAATCACCAAGATTAGAAAAGGCTTCTAAGATCATCCAGTCCAACCATCCACCTGTCACCAACATTTCCCACTAATCCATGTCCCTCGGGACAACATGTAAACCTCTTGCTTCTTTCTCAGTCTACCATCCTGGCACAATTGCTCATCAAGGAGAGATCTGAACTTTAAGACATGCATGTTAAAACCACCGGTGAGCAATTCAGATGCTCTGTGCATCATCTTTCTTGAGCAGTAAAAGCCCTTCTGCTCAACTGAACCCAATGGAGGTGTTCTTTTGCAGGGTGTGTGAGTTTGACCTGGTTTGCTGAAGATGCTGCACAGTTCGCAGCAGATGAAGCAATTCTGCTGATGCACCTGTAGCACTGCATCCCTAAGGGCTTTAAATGCACTTCTGAGGCTCTGCAGAGTTTATTTTCCTGCTACAGCATTTAAGAGAGACAGCTCTTTTTGTGAATGGTGCTTAACAGTTCTTTCAAACTC